CCCAACCCGCAGAGGTTGTGGTCACAGAGGCTGCTGTTCAAAAGAGCCCCGCAGAGGCTACTGCAAAGCGCAGAAGGTTGTGCAAGGTCGTTCAAGAAGAGTCCCCAACAGAACAGATCCAAGACGTTCTCTTTCATATTCAACAAGGATTCAAAGCGCCAATAGACGTGACAGAGTTGGGGACAGAGGTCGTCTTAGACGAAGAAGAAGAAGAAGAAGAGATGGAGTTAGGTGAGGGAGAAAAAGATACCAAAGGTACACATCCTAGCCCTCCTCCCTGTGCTACCCACGCTACTAGGGGCCCTATTCTAGAGGGATCCCCTATTGAAAAAGGCGCACACACGCCAAGCCCAACCCAAGCTAACCTCGCAGAGGACACTCTTCAGTCCTCTGTTGATCGCACATCCGGGCAACCACATACTACTCCTACATTCTCTCAAAAGGATGAAGGTTTTACTATAAAAGTCCCATCGCCCAAGGACTTGTCACATCCCAAAGAGGCATATGTTGCCTCTCCACACATGAGTGACCAACCCGAATATGCTTTAGAGGCATATGTGAGAGTCACAGAGACAGAGGGTCTAGAACGCCCAATGTCCACACTCGATCCCTCTGCCATGTTAGGCTCTGAACCTACAAGGCAAGAAATCGACAAAACACGGGTAGGCTCTCTTCCTGGAGACGTACGAGGATCCCGTGGAAGTCCCCGAGCTGACATCGCAGAAATCAGTCGTTGAGGGCGCCTCTCGCTCCGAGGCTACTAAGTCACCATGTGTTGGTGATCTAGGTCCCCAAGATGCCTACGTGACAAAGGGGGAGTTACAAACCTTTGCCACATCGGTATTCCAAAAGATGGACGAGTTGAAAAGCTTGTTCATCTCTCGCTCGATGACAGAGGATCTTGCTCCAATCACAGAGGCTCTAAAGGAGTTGTCATCCACAACCGCAAAACTCAAGACGACTCTTGCAACCTTGCAGATCTCTGTCCTTCAAAAAGATGACCTCGCAGAAGCTTTTAGCTCTTTGACCCTCAATCCTTCCTCAATCCAATCATTAAAAACAGAGCTATCAAAGGTGGCCGCCCATTTTGCTGCTGATTTCGTCTTTACCGGATACACAGACTATTCCACGTTCAAGGACAAGATCAAGAACATGTTCTCCTCTGCGGTCACCTACGGCATCGACACCAAGTCATCCAGGGCAAATATCAACCATCTAGCCACACGCAGAAAGCTAGATGAAATGGTTGAAGGCCTAGGTGATATTATGCCCAAACACATGGATCAACTCCTCGCAGAGGCCCGAGCCTCCAACAAGGCCATCAGAGACTGCACTTCACAGCTCGTGAAAGAGGGTGACACCCTTAGAAGCAAAATCTATCGAAGCGTCTCAAAGTTGAAGTGGTCGACAGAGATTGATATAAGCCACACCTCTGTGCTTGCTGAAGAGGTGATTAAGAAGATGAAGAAGGCGACCACTAAAATTCTAAAGAGATTGGAGAAGGCTCCCCTATAATCTTGCAAGGCAGAAGCCACCAAACACCATGACGATCAAGGAGGTGATGACCATGATCGTCATGAGGGGGAGAAGAAGGCAGAGAAGAAAGCTGAAGAGCCCAAGAAACAGCCTTCTGCCAAACCACTCAAAATAGTGGACTCTACAGCAGCCCTGTTCTCGAAAGAAAAAACACCAGAGCCTAAGGGGAAAGGCAAGGGCAAGGCTATAGAGGAATCGCCACAGAAGGGGTCGTCAAGCTCAGAGATGCCAGTGATAAACGAAGAAGATTATGACGACCCAGAGCTCGTTCAAGCGTTAAAGGCTTCTTTGGCAGAAGCTCAAGCTAGAAAGGGCAGAGCCCGCTTCCCCCCCCCCCCAAGAGCTGGAGAAGGCTCATCCTCCATGAAGGCAAAGGAGGAAACGTCCACGGGTACGTTCGACGCTCTGCAAGGAACCGTCAAACCTATCCTTGCAGAGGGGTCCACCCAGAGGCCAATACTTGAAGAAGAAGAAGCCAAAGTGCCAGAGTTCGCCATAGTAGGAAGGGTCTCTAAGATCTTTGAATCGATGAGCAGGATTCCCATGCAACAAGTACGCACAGAGTCTGTTACTACTGTGGAGGAGATTCTGCTGTGGAGATACTCTGCAGTGGACACAGAGTCCCCTTATGATCCAGAGCTCACAGGTATACCTTCTGCCACCGCCAAGTTTCAATTTTCTAAACTTACAAGGCCACGTGAGCAAGTCTTCTCAGAGCACGTGATTACATCACTTGAAACAATTTCTCCAAGGACCTTGCTGTAGAAGACGGTGCTCTACGCTCAATACGTTGTGAGGAGGGATGATGGCAACCTATACACGTTCACAGATGCTGACCTCCACAACCTCTGTGTATTTGATCTAATCTACCTGCACAAAATTCTCAACAAATACATGGAGAGGAGGTCAAGCTATTCTATATCACTCAGAAGGCTTATCGAGGTTATGCGCGCACAAGTGAAGTATTACAGCCAGAAGGACTTCGAATTAGCGATGAGGTTAGCCCATTCAGATCTAAAGATTACCCCTCCAAACAACAGACCAGGTTGGATACTTAGGTGTCATCCCAACTCCATTGTTTGCAACCCCGTTTTTGGGTTTGTGTTCTTGGACAAAGATGACATCCTAAGGTTCTTTGATCCAACAGAAGCGAACAAGTACTCCATAGAGACCCTTGAATGGATATTCAAAAGAGTGCTGGCAGAGGTGAACAAAGGGCATCTAAGGATGGGTGAAGTGTCTGGCATTCTGGAAGCTATCAAAGTACAAGTCAACTTCAGAGAATGGATCTTCAATGTCTACAGAACCATCAAGACTGACATGCTATATGCCGTAAACGACTATCCAGACTCTGCGGTTGGATAAACTTCTGTAATAGCATTGGCCTATGCAACATTTTTTTTGTAATTCTTTCATTATGTAATTCTTTTCAGAGGATGAATTTTTATCTCCTCTTGTAATTCTTTCAATTAAGTCATTTCTTGCATTAAATTGTCAATTTCTACTTTTTCATACTTAGGGGAGATTGTTAGCTCTCATATTTCATTTAATGTAAAAGTATGAAAAAGTATTACTGCAAGTGTTGACAGAAGGATTCATTCCACAGAAGACCACAGAGGACCAACAACAGAAGATATTCAATCGTACAAGTCAAGAGTGACAGAGCCTCTGTTGTCTATCACAGAGGTTCTGAAAACTGGTCCTTTGGCAACAAAAGCTTACAAGTCAAACGCAACAGAGCCTCTGGAATAGCTCACAGAGGGTCTGCGGGTTTATCTTCTGTGAAGAACCACTTCTTACTGTTTTACTTAGGTTAGTTAGTTGCACGTGCTTCTCACATATCTATGTTTGTAATCGACTTTATTTGGACGGCTTGGATGATTTCACTCGTCTAGGTCATGTCAGAAAAGCCGTTAGGAACTAGTATAAATAGCAGCTAGGCCTTTGTAATTCAGTGTGCTTCCGAATTGTAATCGTCCATATTTTTCAATCAATTGAAAAACATTTGAAGCTATTCTCTCGTGTTCTTCATATTCATCAACTGTGTGTTCTTGATTATTTACTCTATTTGTTCTTATACTGTTTCCACTGCACTGTTATTGTTCTTAAAGATCATCCAGAGTATTTGGTTAATATCAAAACTGAGTTTACAGGTCCTAACAGTGGATGAACTTAAATCGCTGCTATACGCAAAATTGATGGCATCTCAAAATCCAGACGCTGAAGATGCAGATTTGGTTGGTCTCTTACGACAACAACTGGACGTTAACCCTTTTGTTCGAGCCTCAGAGTTTTTGACTTTTCAAGATGTGGTTACTTCTAGCTTCTCCAAAGTTAGCAAGTTAATCACATCTAAAACCTAAGATCTTAAAAGTTCAATGGATGCCCTTGTTGAACGGGTGTCTACTTTGGAAGAAACTTGCAGGTCTTAGGCCATATCTCTTAAACGAAGGCATGACGATCTGGATGATCCAGATAGTCATGAGGGGGAGAGGAAGAGACAGAGATTGGCTGAGACATCTGAACGAGTTGCAAGGGTTGGAGAGGAGCCATCAACTCAAGACGTTATTGTTGAAACTTCTGCCCCGGAATCTATTCGGGAAAGAACAATTGAGGCCATTGTAATAGAAGATGAATAAATAGAGACAAGTCTTACAATCGAGCCAATGGTTGAAAAGCCAGCGGACTCCACAGTAAGAACAAGGATGTTATTAGACTTGTTTGCCAATGTAGGTTTCAACGATGTGTTCTCTACTACTCTAGGTGGAGAGTAAGATTTTGGAGAAGACATTGACAACATTGACGAGTCGACTGGGATCTACTTTGATTTTGAAGCTGATATAAATGATGAAGATCCAGTTTTTCCTGTTCAAGAAGACCGTCAGACTATTCCAGAATCTTCCACTGCAGATCTACCTGATGTATCAGACATTCCTGCTCCAAGAGAACATGTTGATCCTACTAAAATCTTCACCAGAAATTATGTGCCATTTCATATTAGAGCGAACTTTCCTGGTTATGATAGAGAAAGAATCCGAGAGCCATATTTAGAAGATATCTACTTTGGAATTTTCATCCGTCATCGAAAAGTTATGAGCGGTGATCAAGTTCTTGGCATTCATCGTCAAACCAAAGATTACCGCATAGAATACAAACACCTTTTGAAAGCCAAGCGCCTACCTATAAGTGAAGTGCGTACCAAGCATCGGGTTGTCACGATAAAACAAATTGATGCTCAAAAGCTTCTAAGGATATGGTATCATGTGTTTACTGTAACTAGACAGGATGGCCAGATCTGGAGATTCAGCGAAGCTGATTTTTCAAGCTTATACTTGGAAGATCTAGAATATATGTACCTCGAAATCAGAGACGTGACAAACAGGAAGGAAGGAGAACTGATTGCTCTTGATGCTATTAAGAGATTTATGCGATGTCATGTGAAGCTAGCTATGGTCATTGATGTTCAAATGGGCCTTGAAGACAATCAAAGGATCATCAATCTGAAAAGACCAAATCAAGACTTAGAAGATATTGATGCTTATCCTGTCTATATGATTCTTAGAAAGCCAGAGTTCGGGGTCATATATTTTGCTCAACTTCAAGTGAAGAAATTCATGAGATTTAGTGAGTTGAACAAATTTCAGACGGTACGATAAGGTTGGTGAGAAGGGCGCTTGACTTAAAAAGAGTAAACAATGACAGAGCTACAGAATCTGGGAGGATGAGTTCCAAAGAAAGATATTTGTTGATCAATGCGATAAATCTGCTCGAGGAGAAAATCCAATACAGGAACGCTCTGAAAAGATTAGAGAAAATTCTTGGACTTCGAAAGACAAAATTTACAAGAGTCCAAACTTGAATCTAAAGGGGGAGAATGTTGGGTTTGAGTAAGAGCTTTATTGTTGTATTCAAGTTTCTCCTTAGTTTACTTGCTTTGTAATAGTGTAGCTTTACTATTTTCTTAGTATAAATAGTATTTTCCTTGTAATTGTCATTACCAAGTTATTAGCAGATTGTAATCAGAATTAGTGCTGTAATTTTCTCTCTCTCAATCAAATCAGTTACATTTGATGATCTAATCTTTCTACTATTTCATTCATCTTGTTCTTGAAGATCTTATCATTTTTGTATGAATCTTGGACTTCACAGAATGTTTATATCATCAACATGAATTCTCCTCTCACCGATTAACTGGTTATGGCACAAATGACTATATCATCTCAACTTCAAGACACTCAGTGAGCTCTCAAGAAATGATCTTGTCACCGGTCTTCTTCAACACTCGTTTGCAAAGGAATCTCTTTGCTCAGCCTGTGAAAAAGGAAAACATACAAGAGCTAGTTTCAAGTTGAAACAAATCTCTTCAGTGACAGCACCTCTTCAGCTACTGCACATGGATCTCTTTGGTCCAGTCAATGTGCAATCCTTAGCTGGAAAGAAGTTCACACTTGTCATTATTGATGAGTATGCCAGGTATACTTGGGTATTCTTTCCAAGATCCAAGGACGAAGCACCTAAAGAAATCGTTTCGTTCATCAAAAAGATAGAAGTACTAAACAATGTTAAAGTACGATCTATTCGAAGTGACCATGGCACTGAATTCAAAAACAGTACTATGGATAACTTTCATGAGAACAAGGAAATCTCTCACAACTTTTCTTCTGTGAGAACTCCTCAGCAGAACGGGGTCGCTAAAAGAAGAAATCGAACAATCATAAGAGG